TTTTTGCCCTGACCCTCACATCCTTTGCACCTCACTGCAGAGTAGTGGAATTTTCTCATCATAGCAGTGGAAGATTTCTGACAGAAATCCCTCAATAGAAAACCTCTTAATTTCCATGAAAGAGGCCGATAGGGATGCTTCCATAGAGGATATTCAAGGCTGGATTAGACATACCAGGGCATATTTCCCATGCTGCCTGGTGAGGGAATAAAATCCTTTGTGATGTTGATGAAATTTTGTGGTTGGATCCAGACCACAGAAAGGATGGTGGGGTACCCCAGCTGTCATTAGAGCCACAGTACATACTTGCATTTGTTCATTTTCTGCATCTAAGCATTTCCTTTCAAAATGTTTCTGTCTTCATTTCATATGGGTTTCTTAAAATAAGGGATCGAAAAATTCCCCCCCTCTCTTTTGTCACTGACGCTACGGCGGTGTTGTATATTACTGCTTTAAAAGTCGTTTGTGTGTAGCTAAAGTGATGTTACAAATTTTAAATGTATGCAGATTCTCAAAATGCTTTTTTTCAGAAGATTTTTATTTTTAATATCGAAGAGGAAAAAGTCGAGTTGTCCCTCTGTGTTTTATATAAAGGCAGAGTCTCAGAGTGGTTTCAGAAATGGCTTTCATAAAGTAGAGACTTATCCAAGAACGAAATCACACAATCTCTCTGTGCGTGCTCTTGTTTTTTGGAGGAATTCTCTATGTTTTGGCGTATATACTCTACCTAACATTACAGTCCAACTGAGGCGGGTTTCAATTCTTGCCTTTAATACATCCTATTACAAGCACACAGCTCTCTTCACGGGTCTGCACTGCAGAGCAATATGACTGGTGGACGTAGCAAAGAGAATAGCTCATATATGAAACTGCTCCCAACAAAGTTGGCATATTTTATTTTGAATAAGTGGGTCATGATTTCTGAAATGAGATGCTGCTGCTGATTTTTTTTTCCAGTCATCCTTTTTCATCCTTTCAATTCCAGCCAAGCGCTGTTTAGTTTAATTATATTCAAGAGAAGGCAGACATCTCTACAGCCAATATCTTCAAAACTGGGAAACTCACCAAAATTAGATGAATAAATAACACCACATGCTTAGAGGAAGAACATGGTAATTGGATTTGGGGACTGAAGTGTCTGGTAATACTATGGGAAGTCCCAAAGCTGAGATGTGTCATGTCCAATGTAACTTCACCGAATTACTTCAAAGGATG